ACACCGCAGCCACGGTAATCCACCGAGATAATATATATTTTTTTAAAAACAAGACGGTTATTATTATTGTCAACTTTTTTACCGGGATTTACTGCTACACCGGTTACCGTGACAACCCTAGCCCTGACACACTTTCAGATAGTCTCATGGTGCAGCTGTGTTCTCCAGAGATCAAGGACCAGGACCCAAATGAGGCTGTAATGCTTTGGCACAAAGACGGTGTCAGAAGCAGGAGGCCAGACTTCATGGACAGAGAAAACAAGGAGTCTGACTAGATTTCAATGAAAGAGTTCATAAAAACATCTCTGAAAATTAAATAAATAAATAGTAAAAATGACAAGAGTTGTTTTTCTTATTAATTGATGTTTTAATTATTTTGTCACTTTGTTTGGAATCAACATAATATAGAATAACATACTTTAGGTAGATCTAAATCATTTATAATTTTGGCCGGTAAAAGATATGCTTGGCCGGTAGATTTTCATCATCTACCAGCCAACTTGGCCGGTGAGTAAAAAATTTAATTTCGGACCCTGATCATAATGCTGTTTCCAATGCTCAACAATATTGTCTGGTCCAGACATACCTTCAACACAGCGAGGCAAAACAGTTTTGTTGCTATTAAGAACTCGTATCTCTTTCCAAAAATCCTAGACATTTTTCGATAGTAGTTTCCCAGCCAAGGAATCAGACCTCATTGCTTGATCGCTCTTCTTAATGAACCTAATAGCATACTTATATCTAGCATGTGTAAGCTTTTTATTTTCATATAGGAGACCTTGTCTGGGTCTGCCCGCTTGGGCCCATTCCCTTGTTGCTACTTGGGCTTGCTCATGGAATCCAGCTACATACATGTTCCACCCGGGCAACTTAATATTAGAGCTGCCGACCACTTTATGAAGTGGCTTACCGCTTTCAATAAGAGCTCTGATTATTCAATCATAAAATGTGCAGATGTCCACTTTATGTTTCATATATGCACAATTTGGATCAGTACACCTAATGGCCTCATTGGGTAAAACAACATTTCTCAATAATTCTTCTGTCTTTATAGAGTATGATCTCAACTCACTTTTTGTAACATTAGACCAGTTCAAACTGCTTTGACACACTCCATCATTACCTACAAACACCTCGGGCAGACGCTCAACTTTGACTGAGAATGAAATCTGGATATGATCACTGACGGCCAGGTTATACAGAATATTCATTGAACTAAGAGACCCATGAGCATCTAAAACAATGATCTAGCCATGAAGTAGAATGCCAGGCTTCACTAATATATGTTTAACTGTCATGCGGCAGCATGAGCTTACTTGACATAATGCATTTGTGCTCTAAACAAAACTGAGCCAGATGTTTGCCAGATTTGGGATTCACATTAGAGATATCGGCATTCATATCGCCCACAACATATATACTAGTAAAATTGCAACTTTCCATAAAAGAGCTTAAAAAGCAAGCTCATTAAGATCACTCCTTCGTTCTGTCGGCATTCACAAGGTAAATATAAACATATGACCAGAAAATCCTTATTTCCAAAGGACAAATGTATTCCGATACACCAATCTACTACCATTCTAATAATTTTGACGCAATTGTCCAAAGTTTTTTTCCACAGTATTGCGACACCCCCAGGTATCCTCCCTCTAACAATACTGCTGGAAAAATCTGTAGTAGATTCACCCACCCCAAAAAAGAAATTATTAAGAGTTCAGCTTTGAGAGGTCCTGCTGCACTAAAAATGTCTCTTGCAAACAGAATATCACAGTCAGTTAAAAGGTGATCAATGACCGGTCGATGAGCTTTATCTCCATCACTGTTTCCGAGCTGAAGCCCGCGACAGTTATAAGACAGAACTCGTAAGTCCATATGTTATCATTTTTCCACCGCAGAAGCTCCATTGTTGCCCTTTGTGTCATTCAGCTCAATTCGGTCATGCCCAACTCTCCTGGGCTCAAAATATCGCCGAACAAAAGCCCCTTCAGGCCAGAGATCCGGATTGTACATCTCCTTCACATCATTGCATTCAGCAGAAACTTTAAAGGAACTGAAATTTTTATAAACAGTTTCGATTTGTCAACATCGGGTGAGAATCTGGAAGCGAAAACACTCACCAGCTTGGTTGTAACCATTCTAATGTTGTTCACTACTCCCGTTCCAACAATGGACTTATGGGCCATTCCCATCTGTACCGGGTCGGCCCGGGCCGGGTAGCCCCAGTCGGCCCCAGCCTGACCCGGTTGATTCCACACATCCTTGCCTTAAGCCCATGTGGGCTGATTCTACCCACCAATCAGAGGCTTGCTCTAATGGAAGGTGTGAATTTGCTGTCAGCATTGGGTGTGTTGGCCCTGGTCGGCCTGAAGCAGACCCCCTCGAGAAGAGGGCTGAGAATGAGCCTTGGTTGGCCCCAGGGTCCGAAATTAACACTCGCCACTCGCCAAATGCGAGCAAATAGCTCCATTTGGCGAGTAAATTTTTGAGCTCTACCTGCCACCTGGCGAGTAAATGTTTGCACCAAATTAGTTATGTTTATCAGTCATCTTCCATGGATGTCTGATACTCCTCCCGTCTGCATGCAACTTACACAAATGTACGCGAAACGTGAACGCCGCATCCAACGTCATTTCCACCTATCCCATTCAATCAGTTTATCAAGTTAGCGGTTAGCTTCTTGTTAAAACTAGCGGTGAAATGTGGCGGTTTTTAACTGGAGTCAGCCAGCCTTCCAAATGAAAACTCGTCGAACTGGAAGAAAAACCACCAGGACCAGTGGCAACCAGAAGATTTTGTGAAAAGTGGCGAACTGGAGATGGCGGAGTCGTGAGACAATGGCTACATTATGATGGCCACGTAGCGTTGCTGCCTTTCACAGACAACTGTCCCTCGGCATTCTTCAAATATCCAAAAAATGCCCATACTTCCGACTTTGTCTTCTTTGAGGGATAATAAATGTCCCAAGTGCTGCCGTCTCTGGCCATTATTTCAGCTTTAGCTTAAAGAAAGTTTTGGTCGTAAACAACAAAGTGCGCATGTGCCGCCGGCAACTTCTAGCAGATGATACGGTGGCTGGTAAGGGTCACCGCGCCTACACCGCAGCCACGGTAATCCACCGGGATAATACATATTTTAAAAACAAGACGGTTATTATTATTGTCAACTTTTTTACCGGGGTTTACCGCTACACCGGTTACCGTGACAACCCTAGCCCTGACACACTTTCAGATATTCTCATGGTGCAGCTGTGTTCTCCAGAGATCAAGGACTAGGACCCAAATGAGGCTGTAATGCTTTGGTTCAAAGACGGTGTCAGAGGCAGGAGGCCAGACTTCATGGACAGAGAAAACAAGGAGTCTGACTAGATTTCAATGAAAGAGTTCATAAAAACATCTCTTAAAATAAATAAATAAATAGTAAAAATGACAAAAGAGTTGTTTTCCTTATTAATTGATGTTTAAATTATTTTGTCACTCTGTTTGGAATCAACATAATATAGAATAACATACTTTAGGTAGATCTAAATCATTTATAATTTTGGCCGGTAAAAGATATGCTTGGCCGGTAGATTTTCATCATCTACCGGCCAACTTGGCCGGTGAGTAAAAAATTTAATTGCGGACCCTGGTTGGCCCGGAAAAATACCAGGCCACCCAGATATGTAAACAACCTACGCTACCCGCCCCGGGCCGACCCGGTACAGGTGGGAATGGCCCACAAGTCCCCGGAAACTTCGGCCTTGGCTGCCGCTGGGCGAGATCTACCCTTGCCAGCAACCAGACTCCACATTGGAGACTGTGGCCTATCCAAATTCAACTTTGTTGTAGATTCCACCAGTTCAGGATCACTATTCAACTGCATATCCCCAGTTGACACAAGAGGGTCCAGGCCACACACATTTTCCACCATGGTCACGTGAGACTCCTCCATAGTAGCAGCAGCAGCAACCTTATTAATTACATTAGCCGGTTCCCTTGCGGGGCTTTGTTCAGCAGCCTTGGTAGCTTCTGTAGCCTGACCAGCTGCAGCCTTTTGTTCCAAAGCACACACCCGGTCGCATATTTCCACTGCAGTTGTCTTTAGATATTGGCTGACATCACTCTGACTTTTTACTCCATCCTTAAGGGTTGCTACTTCAGTGCTCAGCTGCTCCATTCTCCTTAATAGACAAGATACATCCAAGCTGCTAAATGTCACCGGTGGCAGGTCCTCCAGGTTATAAGACACAAACCTTGGGACATTATTTACACACCCATTCAGCACTTTGAGACAAATCTTTAAGTTGTTAATATCTTTCTGAGCACCTTTATGTTGAATATTTCTCTGTGTGGTAGAACAGAGATCAAACAAGGTCTTTTTGGAGGCCTCAATCCACTCCGAATCAAAGGTGCTAGTTGCCAGCAGCACCATCTCCTCTTGGCTCATAATCTTCATTTTGGTGAAAAGGAAGCTCAATAGTTCATCCTCCACGACCACTTTACCCTCAGAAGTCTGGTAGATCTCAGGTTTCAGCCAAGAGTGCTTGCAGGTAGCCGTCTTATCCACAGTTTCAGCTTACATTTGCTAGATGGGGTCAATATTGTGACTTTGCTTAAAGTTTTAATTATTGACAATTTCTTTTGGTGTTTCGATTTTTGACCTTGGTTTCCTCGTTTTTGGTTTCGGTCAAGAATTTTTATTTAAGTACATCCCTAATTTTAATATTTCCTTGGACCATATCCATTTCTCCTTCTCAATCAGCCTAGTATTCATGTGCTCAGATCATAGAGGATGTACTATGCTAGCAAAATCAGATGGCAACAACTTCACTCTAGACACCCAATTGGAGGACAATATACCTCACATTACTGTGAGCTAGCTAGCTGGCTCAGGAAGGTTGGCCCAGGAGAAAGGGGTTGGACCTTTTTTGTATTGTGCTATTTCTAATAGTAGCTTGCTTGAACAGCATAAAAACACCTCATACAGCAACTTGAATGTTTTTGTGTATGTGCTGCCTGTAGGTGTTCACCAGACGGTGCTGACTTAAGAAACTGTCCTGGAGAACTGGGGTCTGCTTTGAAACGGAAGGACCTGGAGCCCCTCAACGTGACTGAGGTAGAGGGGTAGCAGCTTAATGAGATTGAGGCTTATGCCACCAAAATTTCATTCTCTACAATTTCTTGTCAGTTTCAGGAAGAAGGAAGGAAGAAAAGTTCTGTTGTCAAATTTTGATCAGCACCAGCCTAAAGACGGAGATCGTCCAACCAGCAGCGTCACTAATAAGATGAAATCAGCAAGGAATTCAGATCTAAATCTTTATAAAGATAAGTCCAACTCTTCAGATTCTGATGTCTGCAATGTTGAAGATGACCAGGATGGCAACAATTCTGACAGTCAGCTGAAGCTCTTGTCAGACTCTGAGTCAAAAACTAAAGATTGTAACAAAGACTGGAAGAAGAGCAGGTCTAAATCAGAGGCTGTCAAATCTTCGAGCTGCCCAGAATGTGATGAACAATTTCTCCATGAGCATTCTCTCCAGAAACACATGATCGTGACAAGTCATTCTGGAAAGAGGTCTTCAGGCTGTTGTATTGATAAACATGTTAGTGTGAAGCAAAATGTAGACTCTTGCAGGGAAGTCCAGACAAAACTACAACCATTTAGGTGTGACAACTGTGGAAAGACTTTTAGCAGAAAATCACATTTAAATGAACACTTGAGAATCCACGCAGGACAGAAGCCTTTTGCTTGTGAGCTCTGTGGACAAAGATTTACCCGAAAGGGAAATTTAGACACACACATGAGAGTCCATACAGGACAGAAACCTTTTGCTTGTGAGATCTGTGAACAAAGATTTAGTGGAAAGTCGGGTTTAGACATACACATGAGAGTCCACACTGGACAGAAACCTTTTGCTTGTGAGATCTGTGAACAAAGATTTAGTGGAAAGTCAAGTTTAAACAGACACATGAGAGTCCACACAGGACAGAAGCCTTTTGCTTGTGAGCTTTGTGGACAGAAATTTCGTGTAAAAGGAAATTTAGAGAAACACATGAGAGTCCACACAGGACAGAAGCCTTTTGCTTGTGAGCTCTGTGAAAAAAGATTTATCCAAAAGGTAAATTTAGACACACACATGAGAGTCCACACTAAACAGAAGCCTTTTGCTTGTGAGCATTGTGGACAAAAATTTAGTGGAAAGTCAAGTTTAAACAGACACATGCGAAGCCACACAGGACAGAAGCCTTTTGCTTGTGAGCACTGTGGACAAAGATTTAACCAGAAGGGAAATTTAGACACTCACATGAAAGTCCACACAGGACAGAAGCCTTTTGCTTGTGAGATCTGTGAAAAAAGATTCATCCAAAAGGGAAATTTAGACACACACATGAGAGTCCACACAGGACAGAAGCCTTTTGCATGTGAACTCTGTGGACAAAAATTTAGTGTAAAGTCAAGTTTAAACAAACACATGGGAGTCCACACAGGACAGAAGCCTTTTGCGTGTGAACTCTGTGGACAAAAATTTAGTGTAAAGTCAAGTTTTAACAAACACATGAGAGTCCACACAGAACAAAAAGCATCTGTCTAACTCCAAGGATTCTTGTTGTTATCCTTGTGATTTTCTCATTTTTAACGTGTAGTTTGGCTTCTGAATGAACCAATATAAAAATAACTAGGGATGCACAGTTTTTGGACCGATAATGATATCCGATAATTATTATGCTGTTATGGCCGATAAATGGATATTTTATGTGTTAGCTTGTTGCTGCATGTGCATTTTTTAGATCTACTTATGGTATCATGCATGCCTTTGTGCCTTGGTGCCAAGTCCGCTTCACTGGTATGTTTTAAAGTTAAAGTCCCAATAATTCGTCACACACTGGTGAAATTCAACTCCGCATTTGACCTGAGATGCAGCTGGCTGCGCTCTGTAACTATTTGGTGGTTTAACCCCCCAATTCAACCCCTTAAGCCGAGTGTCAAGCAGGGAGGCATTGGGTCAGATTGTTAGTCTTTGCTATGACCCGACCGGGATTTGAACCCCAATCGCCAAGTCACAGGGAACCGAACGACAAGCTGGATTAAATCTGTTGCATGTTCCACCTGCTGCAACGGTTCCTTCAGAATAAAAGCTGAACCATCACGACCCTTCAGGGTCTCGCTGATGCCAATAAACTCGTGACCTGGGAGTTACTCAAGACTGGAAGGGTCAGCAACCGCTGCATATCTACAGGCGTCTGTTCCAAGAGGGTCCAAGCTGGACCCCCGACATTCCGGATCTAAACGGGGACTTCCGTTGGGGTACGTAGATGGCGTCTCAATGTGCGTTATTATCTCCAAACCAAAGCTTAGAGCGAAACACCCTTTCACTCCCACTCAGAACTAATTGTTTTCCGGATCTGCTGGTTCTGAACATATTTCACACACACATCAACCTCTGTACATTTTATATCTCTTATCTTATTGTTTACTTTATTCATTTCTTAAATATGTATGTACGCATTATACACACACTCACATGCACACACGTAGAAAAATAAAAAAATAAAATACTTAGCACACACATTAGGAATGTATATACCTTAAATACTATATATATATTATTACTTAGATTAGCCATTTTTATATTTTGCTTGTTTTTACGTTATTGTATTTTGCATAACTGTTGCTGTGAAGCTCGCACACAAGAATTTCACTCACATGTACTGTACCAGTGTACCTGCACATGTGATGTGACAATAAAAGCGATTTGATTTGTCTTACTCCACCTTAGTTCATCATACACATAGTGTTTAAAGTTAGTCTTGTTTAATTTGTTTAGAAATAAATCTTTTAACTTTTTAAACCTGACTCTCTCTCTTTCTTGGAGTTTATACGAAGTGTTGCTCAATCCCTGCAATAAAAAGATCAGATCTTCTGGTTAAATTTACTCAAAGATCCATTAAGGTGATATTTCATATTTTATGATATTTCTCATTCTATGGTTTCTAATTAAATGTAAGAACATCTTCTCTACACAAAATATGAAAGACCTCTTTAACTGGCAATTGCTTGCTCATTTTTTCTTCAAGTTTTATTCAGAATTAGTTTTCAAAACTTCAGCACTTCAACTTAAAACAAATGCCTGTCCAAAAACTAAGTATACAGCCTGAGCCGATTTTCCCCTTGTACGAGAATACTAGCCCGGCAAGCCAGACAAAAACTAGGACGATAACTGTTTAAGTAGCGCCGCGAGCGGCTGCGGCCCGAACAGCACCAGAACCGCTCACAGCGCGTGCGCAAACATGGCTCGCCTGCTATTTCCCTCTTAACACGTCCGTTTTAAATTCTTCACTTTTTTTCTCACACAATAACAAGGATTGTTGAGAAAGCATGTTTGCAGTGGTTATGTCCAATTATACTTATCACAATTATTTACTTTCTTTCGTTTTCCTCATAAATACCTGTGTCCTCCTGCAGTGATCCCGAGGGACAACAGACATCAATAACAACACAATAAAAAGTCCGACGTGTAAAAACTGCTATTTTTTAGCACGTTTTTAGGTCCGACTTGTTGCTACCAGACGCACAGCGTGAGCTGAAACAGAGTGCTACAAATGAAAAAATCGCACAGTGTTGTCAGAATATATAGCAGACCTCGGAGTCCGCTTGCAGAAGTGACATTTACATGTGGATGTTTCCTGGTCAGGTGCTGCAGCATCGAGGATGTGGTGTTGTGGTAGGCTAAATCCATTTTACAGTATTTACACTGGGCTACGTTTTCCACCTTACGAGGTGAAAAATGCTCCCACACCTTTGACCTTTTCTGTCTTTTTCACACCACCAGGGTCCACGTCCGCCATGGCAAGTTATATTCGCTACTCGCGTGTGCATTCAGTGCAGTGTGTATGTGCGTCACTTATTTCGGTCCGGGTGAAACATGACCCCGGGCGATTGCAAAGCCATGAATTAATTAAACGAAGCCTCGTGGCAGAGAATTTGACTCGAGGATTTTTTGTACTCGAATTATTCGAGGTACTCGAGGAATCGTTTCAGACCTAGAAAAATGTACTGAAAAGATTACCTTTAGAATCAGTCATTCATGCATTTATTGCTTCCAGACTGAATTATGCAAACTGTCCTATTGGGAAAAGGGTTGGACATTGTTTGATTTTGAACAATTCCGATTCCTCGTTTCGATTCCGGTTCCTATCGATTCCCGATTCCGATTCTTTGAAGACATGACATACTTTACATGAGACAGCTAACCACAGGTCCTACTTGATGAAATAATGTTAACTTCAACATGAATTTTAACTCTATGAACAACAACATCACCTTCATTTGGACAAAAACATGTTTTGGAGACAAAAGAAGACGACTTGCAGCACAACCAGTGTGTTTGTTTCTGACCACGACCAAAGTGTGGAAGCAGCCTCTGGGATGAGAGGCTAAATGTCTCCAACATATCCAGAAACGTCCAGCTGTTTTCAGCTAAAACTCTCAGGATGATCACGTCCAGGATGACTGAGAACTACACCTCCATGCTGCAGCAGCATCAGTCACAACAGGAAGTTAGATGTAGCTGCTGTCAGTAACAATCTAACAGGTTTAAACATTTAAACTCTCAACAGAAATAATTCAGAAAGGAAATTAAAATTTTATTATTATTATTATTTATGGTGGCAGAAGCTGGTGTGGTCCACCACAGAGAAGCTGCTCTAGCATGATGACTTTAATTATTCTACAGGTTATTGTTCAGCCATCTGACACACACACACACACACACACACACACGAGTGTGCGTCTGACTGCTGACGCTCCGTGTGTGTTGTTATTTCTGCAGTGAGACAAACTCACCTCACACCGTCCAGAGTTTGTTCTTTAAAGCTTCTATTAAATCCACCGTGTTGACGTATTTAACGCGTTTCCTCTACGCTGCAGGAGTTAACGTTTACGGTGTAAAAGTTCGGCAGACGCGTTTGTTTATATCTGGGTGGGGGAGGGGGAGCGGTGCTGCACACACAGCTGGTGTGATCAGCTCTTAAAAGCGTTGATCACAATTTGCAGATCACATTTATTTTTCACGGAGATCGGCCTCGGATTCCTCTTCTGTCGGCATTCTAGGAATCGAAGTAAAACTGAACCATTCCAGGAAAAACTAACAGTTGGTCCCGGTTCCAATCGATGCTCAATGCCCAACCCTAATTGGGAGTAAATGAATCACTGCTGGATCATCTTAAAGTGAAGAATACTGCGACACGCTTTCTGACAAATGCCTACATATCACACTGTTGACCATCACCTGCTACCGGAGAGGCTGAGAGACTGGGTAGGCCTATCATGAACTGCTCTGGAGTGGTTCTCTTTTCTTTCTCAGCGCTCCCTTTCTGTGGCCGTCTCCAAGTTTAGGTTCTCCACCACCTCCCTTACCCATGGTGTAGCTGCCAGCTGAGCAGCTGATGGCAATGACCCTTAATTGGCTCACAGAATATATATAAGCCACACCCTTCCAGAGAAAACTGCTTGGGTTAACTTGTTTGTAGAGAAGATAACACTGTTGAAGTGGGCAGCAGTAGCTCAGGTGGTAGAGCGGGTTGCCTCATGATCGGAGGGTCATGGGTTCGATTCCAGCTCCCGCCAGGGGTATCCTGCTGCTGGGTCCTTGGGCAAGACACTTTACCCAACTTGCCTGTGTTAGTGGTGGTCAGAGGGTCCGACGGCGCCAAATGGCAGCCTTGTCTCTGTCAGACCTCCCCAGGGTGGCTGTGGCTACAAGTAGCTTACCATCACTAGCAGTGTGTGAAAGCGTCTTTGGGTGTCTTGAAAAGCGCTTTATAAGTTCAATGCATTATTATTATTATTATTATTAAGTGTTGAAATTATGTCTTTAGCCTAAATTCACTTCAGCTGCATATTGGACTGCATGGTGGCGCAGTGGTTAGCACTGTTGCCTCGCAGCACGAAGGTTGCAGGTTCGAAACTCGGCTCTGCTGCGGCCTTTCTGCGTGGAGTTGCGTGTTCTCCCCATGCATGCGTGGGTTTCCTCCGGGTACTCCGGTTTCCCCCACAGATCACAACATGCCCTATAGGTTATAAATTGTATGTCGCTTTGGATAAAAGCGTCTGCCAAATAAATAAACATAAACATTGCTGACTGCATCCCCACGTAAGTTTTGCTGTATTGACGCTTTTGTTTGGGTAATTAGTTTGACACTCTATAGTCATTGTTTGTTTTTCTTGTCCATCACCTTGTCAAATCTACAGGTAAAGCAGCTTTGAGGAATTATTATGTTGTTTAGCACCCTTGGCCAGCGGAGCAAGGTAAATGTGAGAATATAATCTATTTCTGTTATGACATCGAAGTTGTGTTCATCTTTTATGTATGCTTTTGTATATCTCTAAACGGTTTTCACGGTGCAACTCATGGAGTGAAGTCCAAGGCGTTGGACCACAGAAACAAATAAAAGTTTATGCACCCGTCGAGGCTCTCCGTTCTTTTCTTCATGTTGCCAGGGGCAGCTACACATGGTGTCCCACAAGGTTCTGTGCTGGGGCCTCTGCTCTTCCTCCTCTATCTGCTTCCTCTTCAGCACATCCTGAGCTCCTTCAAAGGAATCTCCTATTATCTTTATGCAGATGACATCCAACTGTACATCTCCTTTAAGCCCCATGAGATGTCTAAGCTGCAGCTGTTACACACCTGCTTAGACTCCATTAAAACCTGGATAGTGGGAGCTTTCTACAGCTGAATGAAGATGAGACTGAGATCTTTCATTGGTGATCTTCTTAGTCCCTACACCCCCAGCAGGTCCCTGAGGTCCAGTGATCAAAGCCTACTGGTTGTGCAGCACCAGGCTAACGACCAAAGGTGACAGATCATCTGCTGCTGTGGCCCCCAGACTCTGGACCTCTCTCCCCCTGAGCCTGAGATCAGTGGACTCAGTGGTCTCCTTTAAAAAGCAGCTGAAGACTCACTTGTTCAAGCTGGCTTTTGTATGACCTTCTTCACCTCTCTCTCTTTATTCTGCTCTCCCCACCTATTCCACCTTCCTCAGGATCCACTGGTTTCCCTCTTTCCTATTCACTCTCTCTCTTTCTTAACATTTTTTAATCACAATTGTTTTTGCTCATTTTAAATACATTTTCAATCATATTCGATTTTTTTAAATATTTGACATATTTTCTTTTAGTGAAGCGCCTCGAGATTTTTATCTTGAGAGGTGCTATAGAAAAGATCTTTTCTTCTTCTAAGTATTTGTGAAGCCACAACACGCACAACCTTGAGGTGGATGGGCTACAACCGTCCGTAGATGAAAATGTCCGGTTTTTCATCCCGGAGCAGGGATCGAGTTATGGGGGAGCTGGATATCCTACACATCCAGGCGAGCCGGAAAAAACGTCATCTACCTGAATTACATCATTTATGGACTCTTGAGCAGAAAGCAGCAGAGTGATGATCGTTGTGGCGCAGCGCTCCAGGCTGCTGCGTCCAGCGCACGGTCCATTCTCAAAGTGAGACAACCAAAAAACTATAATTAACACACGATGGTTCATGTCCGCACATGTTCTCTACTTTCTGTCTTATTTGTGCCTGAAGCGCTCTGCTACTGTGGAGCTCATCACCTGTGCTAAGGTGATTTCACCTCACTGACGCAGCATCGAAACGCGTTCTTCCGCTTTGCAGTCAGGAGATCCCTTTGATCTGCTCAAAAGTAACTGGGACGGCTGCACAGAGATGCTTCGCTGCCTATGACTTTGAACGTCAGTTGAGAGCGGTTGAGAGTCAGTCTCATGCAGACTGACCAATGAAGAGAGGGCCTCAAGACCCTCCTCATTGGTCAGTCCACACGAGGTGGGTCAAAGGTTACCCTGAGCAGGTTACGTGATGTCAGGCATTCAAGTATTGAGTATAGTTACTGCATATTACAGTAAAATATTCTACAGGGAGTGCAGAATTATTAGGCAAATTAGTATTTTGTCCACATCATCCTCTTCATGCTTGTCTTACTCCAAGCTGTATAGGCTCGAAAGCCTAATACCAATTAAGCATATTAGGCGATGTGCATCTCTGTAATGAGAAGGGGTGTGGTCTAATGACAAATTTTGTCAAACCATAAGGCTTTAGGAAAAAACTGTCAAAAAAACACTTTCTGGTAGAAATGATAAAACTTGGAAAATCCAACAGATGGCGTCATTGTCACATTGTGTAGACTTGACGTGATGCCATTAATGTGCGACAGCAGCAGCTTGGCGCACGGATGGCAGGTTTGAGTTATTCTGCCTATTCACGGTACATTTGCAACAATTAATGTCAAATAATGTTGCAGTTGAGTTTTGAAAATTACTTCACCACAAAACATAGAAGCCAAAAGAAAAAGTGCCACGCTGATTCACCTGCTCATAGAAAATTTGCTTGTCTTCTATGGTATATGTGCCAGAGAGGATAGACTTTAATAATAAATAATAATAATATAATTATTATTATATGAGCCAGGGAGGATAGACTTTAATAATAATAATAATAATAATAAAATTATTATATGAGCCAGGGAGGATAGACTTTATTCAGAGAGGATACATAAGAGTCCTGCGTCTCCTGCAGCCTTGATGCCGTTCTGGCACACCACAGGATAAATTAGGAGTATTGGCTCAAGTTCATAGACTTCATATCAACATCAGTGTCAGATTGACCTGCATGAAGAAGTCTGGCCTGGTTATGTCACTAGTATGTGTGCTTTATTAGTCACACACTGAACACACAGGTTCTTGCTGTTCATCCAGAGTCGTGTCCACTAGGTGGCAGCAGTGCACCTTTACGTTGGTTGTACAGAAGAAGAAGAAACCCGGAAGCTGCTAGCAGCGCTAGCTTGTTGTTGTTCTGGTGTGTGAGGTGAATGAATATTTGAGTCTCTGGGAGAGTTGATCGGCTAAAGCGACTAACTGCTGCTGCTGCAGAAATCTTCTCACCAAACTGTGGAAACTTTCTTCTCCTCCTCAACAACTTGGTGGACTTCTTTCCAGAACCAGAGAAGATATTCTGCGGTCTTCGTGACAATCGGAGCTCCAGAAGCAGGTAATGGGTCAGAAAAGCTTTTCTCTAGACTTCCTGCCCTCTGGCTCTGCTGCTGTTCCTTTGACCTCTCTGACAAACGCGCTCGTTTAGCTGCTTTCATCAGATTGAAGAGGTTCCCTCTATCAGACTCGCTCATCTGAGCTGGTCATGATGCAGGATCGCTGCTCGCTCTCTCATCCATCCTGCTCACACTCCGACGGAAAAGCCCCGAATCTGAATGTGACTCTGGAGGAAAAAGCGGTTAGCTCTACTCCGTGACTGGGACCAAAATTTGGCCCTGGCATTTTTATGAACCGTCGGCCCTCGGCAGGTGAGGTTGCCCCCCCTATCCCGTCATATGGGGGGGGGGGGGGGGGCTGCTGGCGGATTTGTCTCTATAACCGCACGTGAGGCGGGGGCTTGGTTCGGGACGGCCCAAGCTGGGCAAGCGGTCCACGGGGACAGTGCCAGATAGGCCAGTCCACCCCTGCTGGTGACCAAAGGTCGTCTTTTCCAGACTGGATGTGTCCTCAGCTGATCAGAACCAAAGCGTTGGGTCTTTAATCCCCTGCGTTGTTCTGAAGCAGCATCTTAATCAGCTCTCCTGCTTTGTTTCTATTGCAGCTGTTAGCTAAACACGGCTAAAGAAAACCTGCTACCACTTCAGGATCCATCAGCTGGGACTGCTTCATCAGCATGGACACAGGTACTGGTGTGTGTGTGTGTGTGTGTGTGTGTGTGTGGTTCCTAGGATGATAGAAGTCGGTATTTTCAGAAATTGTCTACAGTCGTCATCGTTTATGTTTATTTATTTGGCAGACGCTTTTTATCCAAAGCGACTTACAATTTATAACCTATAGGGCATGTTGTGATCTGTGGGGGAAACCGGAGTACCCGGAGGAAACCCACGCATGCATGGGGAGAACACGCAACTCCACACAGAAAGGCCGAGCCGAGTTTTTGAACCTGCAACCTTCGTGCTGCGAGGCAACAGTGCTAACCACTGCGCCACCATGCAGCCCATCGTAGATCTCTTCGACTTCAAAGGAAACAAATGAGCTCAAAATATGCTGAAAATATATCACTTAAGTAAGATTAGCACTACTGCAACATATTTATAATCAAGTAATAGTTAAAAGTAGCCGTCCAAAAACATTACTCCACTGAATCTGGTGCCCAGGTAGCTGCGCCAGGTTTTATTTTCTGGATGAGCCTTAATTTAACACGTTATTATCAATGTAAGTTACAAGCAGGTACAGAGACAACACCTACATGCTGAGACATGTTTTCATTTGACAGACAGTTTAAAAATCTGTCACGATCGTTTCCTCCTGCCATTTTCAGAATCAGCTTTATCGTCAGTGCCCCAGCGTCCCGAAGTACAGAAATTTTGGGCCATTCCCATCTGTACCGGGTCGGCCCGGGCCGGGTAGCGTAGGTTGTTTACATATCTGGGTGGCCTGGTATTTTTCCGGGCCAACCAAGGCTCATTCTCAGCCCTCTTCTAGAGGGGGTCTGCTTCAGGCCGACCAGGGCCAACACACCCACTGCTGACAGCAAATTCACACCTTCCATTAGAGCAAGCCTCTGATTGGTGGGTAGAATCAGCCCACATGGGCTTAAGACAAGGATGTGTGGAATCAACCGGGCCAGGCTGGGGCCGACTGGGGCTACCCGGCCCGGGCCGACCCGGTACTGATGGGAATGGCCCATTCGACTCCGCAGTTCAGCCTGAGCGAGGTTACACACACAAAACATGTAGAACCAAACCGATGCAGGCAGACCACGAGAGCTGCCATTCAAGGCGCTCATTTCAGTTAGATAGAAAAGGGTTACATGAGGATAAATGGGGGAGAGGGACAAAAAGGCATTTCAGAGTTACTCTCGACAGGGGCTAACTTTGCTATGCAAAACACCTCAAACATATAAGCACGAACATCAACAGTTCACACGACATGAGACTCTAATGGGGCTTTGGAGTGTGACATTGCACGATGGGGGCGCGCCCTGGTAACGCCATCTTTCTTGTCACCGAGGACTGAGGAACAAACGGATAGCAGCAGGATGGCACCCTTATAACATCAGCAATGGGTAGGACTTGCTGTGTAGTAGTGTTGTCAAAAAAATCGATACCTAGATATAAATCGATATTAAAAGTGGTATCCAAATAAGATATTCCATCCCTGTGGTATCGATATTATGGACTATTATACACAGCCTTCTTCAAGTAAACCGACACGCCAGATGCCGTAAAGCAGCCTCCGCCTCCCAGACAAACAGAAGAAGAAGACGCCGCCGCCGCATGACTACACTGCTATTTCCCGCGCGAGTTGTCTCCGTTTTGTTTTGTGAACAATGGCAACAGCGAATTCGGGAGGCGCTTCACAGCCCAACTTAGTCAACAACACAAAGAGCAAAAGTGCAGTGTGGAAACACTTTAGATACAAGGCTGATGAGTCGGGGAAAGCAACAGACCGTGACAGGCCTGTTTGCAAGGAGTGCTACAAAGAGATCGCTACGAAGTCCAGCAGCACAACACATTTGGCCAAGCATCTGAGAGACCGACACCCCAAACTGCATGACGAAATGAAACTGGTGTCTAAAATTTATTAAATCTAGTAAGAATGTGTCTAATTGCACCAACAAATTTGAGCTCACGTATTAGTATTAGCTAAGCTAGCATACCAAGTCCGACACGTAGTTGTATATTCACGCTTGTATGCTTAAAGGAAACTCCCGTTTATTGCAACCTGGACTTAATTTCTAGCATGCGGTACGTATGTTTACTCACGCTGACAACTTTGGTGCTACTTGGATTCCCCGGGGTATTTAGATCCATCGGCGAATCACCGTCAGCGTATATCCATGTAACGGGTGCAGACGGGCACCCATGTGCAGCCTCGAAATAAGACATTATCTGCACCAAAACATCTTCATGTCGAAAGGTTTTGTTGGGAATCATTAACGTGATTCCCCTGTTCGTTTGGAGCGGGTCTGGGATTTCTAGGCGTAAACAGACTAGCCGCGGCTAATCTAACCGGCGCTTTTAATGAGGTCACTGCCGTGCACCAATCTGTTTTCATTAAGATTACCGGTAGATGTACCTTTGTCCTACTGTGGAGAAATTTGTTTTCTCCCTTTATTGACCAACAGAGTTGTTCAAAAGTACAGAACAAAACATACGGCATTACAGCTTATGACAAAAATGCACCTTAAACAGAGTTTCAGCAGCAAAACATCACTCTACAAATAGTGCAAATATAAACAAAGAACACAACATAATTCATAAAATTAAAATAAACGGAAAATAGCAATTAATTCAAAAACACTGATATGAGGAATTTTACGGCATTTAATTTTAATTTTTGAAGGGATTTTCAGACTGAATGAAAAATTTGGGTTCTCGTGCCATTTTAGTTTTAATCTGAGCACAATCCCCACTTGGTGCTTAATGATGGAAAATGTTAAAATTGGAAACACACAAATGTGATCCATGTTGATATTTGCAGTAGCATGTCTAAGTGGCTGCTGTTGTAGACCAGAAAGCGTGAAAATTGCTGCTTCTTTTTGAAGTTAAACTACAGCTGAGCTCAACTTTGTTGGTGCGGACAGCAGAAAGAACTTTTTTTTTAAATTGACATTTGACTCGATATGCATTCAAATTGTTTTTGTTTCATTTCTACAACCAGGCTCAGGTTGATGCAGAGAAACAGTTGACATCCACAACCAAGCCATTCCAGCCGGCATTGCCTGCACTATTTGATCAGCAACGAAAATATGGACCTAAGTCCCCAGAGACTCTAAAACTAAACAGACTTGTTGCTGAATATATTTGTATGGATCAAGTGCCCATTTATTCAGTTGAGAAGCCTGGCTTCCAACAGCTTGTTACGCACCTTAATCCCAGGTATAGCATTCCATCCCGCAATTTTTTCATGTACAGTGAAATCCCTGCTCTGTACAAGAGTATCAAAGATGTTATACTGAATCAGTTTGTGGGTAAACCATTTTACTCATGCACCACCGACCTCTGGACCAGTAGGGCATCCGAGTCGTTTATGGCTGTGACTATTCAATCCATTACTGATTCTTGGGAGATGACGAGCTGGTGTTTGGGTTGTGTTGGAATTCACTCTGACCACACAGGAGAAAACATCAGGGAGGCGTTTGAGGAGGTCATCCAGGATACCTGGAAGCTGGACCTTAACCTAATGGCAGGCCTTACGACTGACAATGCCTCCAATAATAAAAAGGCTTTTGAGCAGGACTTTTTATGGGTCCCTTGCTTTGGCCACAACCTGGATTTGGCAGTCAGCAAAAGTCTAGAGGTAGACAAGGTCTCATCGACATTGTCCAGACTTAGAAAAACCGTGTCAGCCTTCAGCAGGTCACCAAAGATGGTTAGACTACTTAAGAACAAACAAAAAGAGCTGCAGTTAGTTGAACACAGTCTCATTCATGATGAGCCAACACGCTGGGGCTCATCCTTTGAAATGGTGGACCGAGTTTTGGAGCAGCAACAAGCTGTGTGTGCGGTTCTAGCAGAGAACAGAAAAAAGTGGCACCTCATGCCTAAAGATACAGACATTACAACTTTAGAGACTGTACAGGAAGTGCTGGGCCCATTCAGCTCATTCACTGATGCTCTCAGTGGAGAAAAGCATACCACTCTTCCCTCTGTGCTCCCTCTCTGCTGGAAGATTTTCTCAGTTTTATTTAAGTTGTATTTTTAACCTTAGTCCAGTAGCCCAAAACAGATTAGCCACCTCACAGCTAATCCGTTCCCACAGAAAACAGAGTCTGGTAAAACCAGAGTTGTGTCAGAATAAATACATCCTATTTTAAATTTACAAAGGCTGTTTCAGTTAAGGGGTAAAAGAGTTTGGCATTCAAAAATGGCAGTAAAGCACTTTCTTTACAGTTCTTCATCATATTGAGCAGAAGCTATTTATTATGCTATTTACAAAGTCTTAAACAAAAGAAGAATCATTTTATAATAATCGGTAATAATTATGTTAAAATAATAAATTGCAGGTATCTAGTTTAAGTTAATCCTCCTCCTCATCCGTCAACACCACAAAGTCAGTCTGTCACTTCAATAATGATAATAAATAATAATACTAGAGTTGTACATTTCTTAACCTCAATATATTGAGGCTGGAAAGATTATTGAGTTAATTTTCATTCTATCGTACCATTAACTGATTTATTGATTATCGTCCCAGCCCTACTGGACGGAGATCTGATTTCAAGCTCTCCATCACTGAAACTTTAGAATAAGATGGAAAACACATTTAGTCCTAATTATATTAGATGATTGCAGTAAACATCCCAAAACTGTTAGATTCCTAAAACGATGGTAGGGTAACTTCATGGCAGGAGGCTCTCAGCTAAATTCCCTTAAAGTCAGAGGTGGAAAGTAACGAATTATATTTACTCACGTTACTGTAATTGAGTAGCTTTTTTTGTATATTTATACTTTTTAAGTCATTTTTAAAAGCTGTACTTTTACTTTTACTTGAGTAAGTTTTTTAAAAAGGATTGTAAGTTGCTACATTTTAAATCGTATCCGTTACTGAGTAAAAATAAATTGTTGGCTCAGTAAATTAAAAATACTGCGTGCAGCAGCGTCAGAACAGAAAGAGACACCTGCATGAGCGCCGTGTCTAAACTGTGGGGGGGACACTTGATAATGAGGACAAACAGCCATTTTTACCACAGTTTTGCTCAAAAACATCAGTTCAGTCCCTGTGATCCACTCGCTGTTTACCTCCTCTCTCCCTCTCCTCCTTTGGGTTGGAACCCGCACCTTCGCGCACCGGTGTGAAGTCATCAGAATTCTGCTCGGTTCGGTAGCCTGACTCGTTTCCATGTTTGAAATGGGTTTCCCTATCGCTCCGCACTGAGCTGAAGGTCACTAACAGACCAGCATGGGCTCTCATAACACCTGAGCAGCACCACAGACTGATAGACTCCATGCCACGCTACATTGCTGCTGTCATTCAGGCCAAAAAGCCCCAACTAAATATTGTAGAACCTAGAAGGTATTATACAGTGGGGCAAAAAAGTATTTAGTCAGCCACCGATTGTGCAAGTTCTCCCACTTAAAATGATGACAGAGGTCAGTAATTTACATCATAGGTACACTTCAACTGTGAGAGACAGAATGTGAAAAAAATCCACAAAAACACATGGCAGGATTTTTAAAGAATTTATTTGTAAATCAGGGTGGAAAATAAGTATTTGGTCACTTCAAACAAGGAAAATCTCTGGCTCTCACAGACCTGTAACGTCTTCTTTAAGAAGCTTTTCTGTCCTCCACTCATTACCTGTATTAATGGCACCTGTTTGAACTCATTATCTGTATAAAAGACACCTGTCCACAGCCTCAAACAGTCAGACTCCAAACTCCACTATGGCCAAGACCAAAGAGCTTTGGAAGGACACCAGGAAAAGAATTGTAGACCTGCACCAGACTGGGAAGAGTGAATCTACAATAGGCAAGCAGCTTGGTGTGAAAAAATCAACTGTGGGAGCAATTATCAGAAAATGGAAGACATACAAGACCACTGATAATCTCCCTCGATCTGGGGCTCCACGCAAGATCTCATCCCGTGGGGTCAAAATGATCATGAGAACGGTGAGCAAGAATCCCAGAACCACACGGGGGGACCTGGTGAATGACCTGCAGAGAGCTGGGACCACAGTAACAAAGGTCACCATCAGTAACACACTACAACGGCAGGGAATCAAATCCTGCAGTGCCAGATGTGTTCCGCTGCTGAAGCCAGTGTATGTCCAGGCCCGTCTGAAGTTTGCCAGAGAACACATGGATGATACAGCAGAGGATTGGGAGAATGTCATGTGGTCCGATGAAACCAAAGTAGAACTTTTTGGTATAAACTCAACTCGTCGTGTTTGGAGGAAGAAGAATACTGAGTTGCATCCCAAGAGCACCATACCTACTGTGAAGCATGGGGGTGGGAACATCATGCTTTGGGGCTGTTTTTCTGCTAAGGGGACAGGACGACTGATCCGTGTTAAGGACAGAATGAATGGGGCCATGTATCGTGAGATTCTGAGCCAAAACCTCCTTCCATCAGTGAGAGCTTTGAAGATGAAACGTGGCTGGGTCTTCCAACACGACAATGATCCCAAACACACCGCCCGGGCAACAAAGGAGTGGCTCCGTAAGAAGCATTTGAAAGTCCTGGAGTGGCCTAGCCAGTCTCCAGACCTCAACCCCATAGAAAATCTGTGGAGGGAGTTGAAAGTCCGTGTTGCTCAGCGACAGCCCCAAAACATCACTGCTCTCGAGAAGATCTGCATGGAGGAATGGGCCAAAATACCAGCTACTGTGTGTGCAAACCTGGTAATGACCTATAGTAATTGTTTGACCTCTGTTATTGCCAACAAAGGTTATGTTACAAAGTATTGAGTTGAATTTTTGTTATTGACCAAATACTTATTTTCCACCCTGATTTACAAATAAATTCTTTAAAAATCCTGCCATTTGAATTCATGGATTTTTTTTTTCACATTCTGTCTCTCACAGTTGAAGTGTACCTATGTTGTAAATTACTGACCTCTGTCATCATTTTAAGTGGGAGAACTTGCACAATCGGTGGCTGACTAAATACTTTTTTGCCCCACTGTATAAATACAGGCCTTCTACCACAGTTTGAGGTTGTCAAGACAAGGCCACCAAAACAGAAAAATGAGAAAATTAGAAAAATTCGATCAATTCTAGTAATTCTACTTTTTTTTTAATATTTATACATTCACCTCAGATAAAAAGTCACTCAATGCAAAAGTTAATTCATGTTCACTGAGTTAGTTCTGATCTCACCAACTTAAACCAGTAATTCAACTGCTTGTTAATATATGTGTGAAAATAAAGTTACAGTGGTTAATTCACATAATGTGTTCCTGTTTCCCATAGATGTTCTCCAGATGGTTAAAGAAGAAGCTCCTGAAGATCAGAGTGCTGGTGTGGACCAGCAGCACCCAGAACAGTTCCACATAAAGGAGGAACAGGAGGAACTCTGGACCAGTCTGGAAGGAGAGCAGCTCCTTTTGAAGAAGGAGACTAATTCTGCCAGGTTTCCATTCATATCAGGTTCTATAAAAAGTGAGGATGATGAAGACAAACCTCTGGTCTTACATCTTCTTTATCAGCAGCAAATAGAGGACAGAGATGTTCCAACCAACAGCTCAGCTGACCAGACAACAGCAGAAACTGGCAGAGAAGCAGAATCTAGCAGGAACCCAGTTCTGAACCCCGATGAACAGATATCTGATTCTTTACAGACTGAAGTTAGTGGAGATGATGTGAATCTAAATGTTGAGCTATTAGACTCTAGTCACATTCATAATAAATGTTTAAACAGACACATGAGAGTCCACACAAGAGAGAAACCCTTTGCCTGTGAGCTCTGTGAACAAATATTTAGTCATAAATCCACATTAAACCATCACACAAGAGTCCACACAGGACAGAAACTGTTTGCGTGTGACCTCTGTGGAAAAAGCTTTAATCGAAGGACAATTTTGAATACTCACATGAGAGTCCACACAGGACAGAAACCCTTTGTGTGTGAGCTCTGTGAACAAAGATTTAGTCAAAAATCAACATTAAACACTCACATGAGAGGCCATACAGGACAGAAACCGTTTGTGTGTGAACGCTGTGGAAAAAGCTTTAATCGAAGGACAAATTTGAATACTCACATGAGAATCCACACAGGACAGAAATTGTTTGCGTGTGAACTCTGTGGAAAAAGCTTTAATCAAAAGACAAATTTGAATACTCACATGAGAGTCCACACAGGACAGAAACCCTTTGTGTGTGAGCTCTGTGAACAAAGATTTAGTCAAAAATCAGCATTAAATACTCACATGAGAGTCCACACAGGACAGAAACCGTTTGCTTGTGAACGCTGTGGAAAAAGCTTTAATCGAAGGACAAATTTGAACACTCACATGAGAGTCCACACAGGACAAAAACCCTTTGTGTGTGAGCTATGTGGACAAAGATTTAGTTTTAAGCAAACATTAAACATACACATGAGAGTCCACACAAGAGAGAAACCCTTTGCCTGTGAGCTCTGTGAACAAAGATTTAGTCGTAAATTCACATTAAACCGTCACATGAGAGTCCACACAGGACAGAAATTGTTTGCGTGTGAGCTCTGTGAACAAAGATTTAGTCAAAAATCAACATTGAACACTCACATGAGAGTCCACACAGGACAGAAACCGTTTGCGTGTGAACTCTGTGGAAAAAGCTTCACTCTAAAGGGAAATTTGAACGCTCACATGAGAGTCCACACAGGACAAAAACCCTTTGACTGTGAGCTATGTGGACAAAGATTTAGTTTTAAGCAAATATTAAACACTCACATGAGAGTCCACACAAGAGAGAAACCCTTTGTGTGTGAGCTCTGTGAACAAAGATTTAGGCAAAAATCTACATTAAACGGTCACATGAGAATCCACACAGGACAGAAACCGTTTGCGTGTGAACTCTGTGGAAAAAGCTTTACTCTAAAGACAAATTTGAACACTCACATGAGAGTCCACACAGGGCACAAACCGTTTGTGTGTGAACTCTGTGGGAAAAGCTTTAATCGAAGGACAAATTTGAACACTCACATGAGAGTCCACACAGGACAGAAACTCTTTGCCTGTGAGTTATGTGGACAAAGATTTAGCTGTAAGAAAAATTTAAACAGTCACATGAGAGTCCACAAAGGACATTACAAATAAATTTAAAGTGCACTTTTACTGATAAACAGTATAAATACGTGACAAAATGCTGTAGACAATTGAGGTCATTATTTTAGCATTTTTGTGCATCTTATGTAACCCTCCCACTGTCCCTTGAGGTCCACATGGCAGGGGTGAGGAGTGAGCACCACCTCACCCCTGTCACGTGGACCTTAAGGGATGAACCATCAACCCTGCTCAATGGTCAACTTTCCTCGCGGGGTCACACATTAGGACAGTGGGAGGGTTAGAATGTAAACATTCAGCTTGAAACTGCTCATTCTCCTCTGACCTCTAGCATCAACAAGGCATATTCGCCCACAGGACTGCCGCATACTGGATGTTTATCCCTTTTCACACCGTTCTTTGTAAACCCTAGAAATGGTTGTGTGTCCAGACACACTGGAAAAGTAAAGGAATCCTATACCTGGAACACATATATAAAGGATTGGGCTTCATCCCATTTAATAGAATAGTCTCCCAATTTGGAATAGATAAGAATAGCTTTTTAGAATATCACCAAATTAAATCAATAGTTAAACAAAAGTTTAAGTGTAATAAAGTAGAATTACATACACCACCAAGGGTACTAGACTTATGTAATGTCAAACACCCCAAACTACAGTCCAAAATTTATAAGACTGTCGCGAGCGTATCCTATTTGTTGGTTCCATTAAAACCTAAGACTGCCCTGCTTTCTCAGGGTTAAGGTTCAGATGGGAACCAGAGGTCTGAATGGTAGACAGAACCGTGTCCGTTCTTGAACGTCCTGTACAAAAACTGGTTGTGTTAGTTGAGAGTTAAGTTTTTGCTCTTTGTTTTTAATTAGGAAGTAAAATACAGTACTGTTAACTGCCATTTGTCTACTTTAAAATCATGTGAAGTATTTTTGCATAAATCATGATTTGGTAAATGATTTGTAAATGGCTGCGAGCAGGTGGATAGTCAACGTCACTCATTCAATTGCATATAAGTGGGCGTTAACCCGGATGTGGACGTGGCGTTGGCATTCCACCTGGCTTGGCATGTTGCAGCAGACCAAACTTCCACGTAAGTGCGGGTATTTTGACTAAAATTGATTAAATAAGAACGTGTCGCCCTAACAAATGCTTGTACATTTAGTCTATGGTCTTGCTGTGCCAAGCCTCTACGTGACATTACTTTGATTGCACCCCATGGCAAGAGGAGCAAGGTATTTGTTCTTTGTTTCTGTTTGTTGCTCCTGATTGTCAGCGATTGTCTTTAATTTGTTTGTAAATTATGTATTTTCAGTTTTCACAGTGTTTGCACATTGACCGGCACCAGGTGCTCGGTGCTATTCTGGGAATGAGGTGTGCATCTACAGCCTGACGCCAATAAAAAGTTACACCCGTCGAAGCTCTCCTCCTTATTTCTCTTGGATGCCAAGCAAGTGGTGCTCGCTGCAGAACCACAAAGGCGGAGTTGTACCAGAAGGTGGAGCTGCACCAGAGTCAGCCCCACCCCTTCCAGAGTCAGCCCCACCCATTCCATCAGAGTCAGTCCAATTCCTTCCAGTTGTCAGACTTGATAGCATTCTGGAACCAAAGAGGGTGTTATAGCTAATATCATCTAAAATACAAGATTGAGGACGGAGTTTAGAAGTTAATTGAACAGTTTTTGTAAAGGTTCCATATAATTAAAAATCTAACTTTTGGAACTTTTTACCATGTTATATTGTCATTTCCTCATAAGAAACACGTCAAAGCCATTTTTGGCCTCATTCATGCCTTTTCCTCCCATCTCCGCTTCAATTTCGTCCTCTCCCCCAAGCGGGTCTGATCTTGGTTCTCAAATCTGGATATTCTGTGAATTTTCTGACAAATTATTTCTGAAATGACTTCTGAGACACCGGCGGAGAAACCATGCACCCCATCTACAAAGACACACTGGATGGGACAATTACATGTAACACCACCAGCTTTTTATTAGGTATAGTGGTGAAGTGGTTATGGAGTCAGATTGGCATGCAGTTTAGCGCAGGTTCGCCTCCCATTAGCGGAAGTATCAGGTAGTTTAAAACCCTTTTTCTTCTTTTCTAGCTACACTTGCCAGTACTATGTTTACAACAATTTATTGGTGTACCGTTTACAATATAATGACTAATGTGTTTTTTATTTTTTATTTATTCATTTATTTAGCCCAGGGATTCTCAAAGTGTGGTGCAAAAGTGTAATGGCTGCGGAGCTCAGAGAAGTCTGTCAAATGTCACCATTAGCGTAGCCAGAAACTCATTTTTGGGTGGGCTTAAGAAAAAGTAAGTGGGCCCAATAAATGTAATTGAAAACAAGTATATTTGCGCACGTGTGTGTGTGTGTGTGTCCTCCGCATGTGCCCTAGCTTCATAATAACAATGCGCCGAGCTTCAGCACTCTGGCCTGCTCACGCCGACATGTTCCGTATTTGATCATTTTTAACGATGTTGGAGGAATCTGAAGGTGGTGAGTCATTCTGGCAGATTGTAATTAACACCTGTCTCATGCAGGTGTTCTGACACACAGAACATTGTGGATGTAACTAAATAACAAGAAATGATTCCCATTCAGGCTATTAACAGCGCGCTGAAGATCTGAAGTTCAGAGCGTGTCTGTCAGAGGTCAGACGCGCTCCAGAGGAACCACGGCTCACGGGTGCACATGTGAGCACATCTGGGCTGGGCAGAAGTTTAAATAGCGCCGATAACGAGATGCGGTGACTTGAGCGGCTCATGGAGATGTGCCACGCACACACACACAGATTCAATAAGCGGGCATGCGGCGCAAACTCCGGCGCGCCGTCAGACTGAAGACAGAAATGAGCGCTGCCTCCTCCGTGATAAAAACTTTTAAGAGGTTTTATAACATTTTTCATTCCAGGTCAAATTAAGATATTAGCTTCTATTTTGGGATGACGTATTAAAGTCGGGTCCGCTCCAGCCAGTGACTCAGAACCTGACCACAACTCATGTTACTGCAGCATTTGTTGTTCCAGTCCGCGTGGCAGCGGATCGCAGATTCAGCCACACCATAAAACAGCAATAAGTCGGTCTGAGGTAAAAGTGAACATCATGGCTATATCTTTTCCATCTTTTCCCCTTTAGACATTTGAGTACGCACAAGTAGGTGACCAGCTCAGGTTTACGCAGAAGGAAGGAAGGAGAGCGCTCTGGCCGCACAGGTTAAACGTTCCTACTTTAAGAAAACTGTTAAATTGCATTTTATGTGCTACCTGGGCACTCTAAATATTTATTTTAAATTAAATCAAAGGAAATTGGAATGGTATCGAATGTTTATTATTATTTAAAAAATGAAAGTGATGGGGAAAAAGGTCGATCATATTTTTTTAACCCTGTCTGTTTAGCTTGACGTCTGATATATATATATATATATATATATATATATATATATATATATATATATATATATATAGCCATGCCCTGATGTGAGGGCTGGGGGGTGTGTCGGCATGGTCGGGACATAGAAGGGGGTGCGCGGCTAAATAAGTTTGGGAACCACTGATTTAGCCAGTGTGAGTCCATTTGTGAGCAGCGTTTCAACTAAAATGCTGTTTAGCACATGACTCCAATTTTAGCAAGACTTCACTGGCTTCCTGTGCACTACCGTATACGTTTTAAAATGTTATTGTTTGTTTTTAAGGCGCTGAATGGCTTAGCACCACCTTACATATCCGAGTTACTCCTTATGTGCCGGGCAGGACTCTCCGTTCAGGTGACCTACACCTACTACAGATTCCCCGTCTACGCTGCAAAACCCGTGGTTAACAAGCTTTTTCTGTCTGCGCTCCGAAACTCTGGAATGATCTCCCGCTGAATATCAGACTCTCCTCCTCCATTGGGGTTTTTAAGTCTCACTTAAAGACTTACTTTTTTTCCCTTGCTTTTACTGCCTAGCTATTTTATCGATGGTTTATTTACACTGTTCTTTTACCGATTTTATTGACTTCTCTTGTTTGGTTCTTTGTGCTATGCTCTAGCTGTTTTATTCTTTTATATTATTCGTTTAACCTTATATGTTTTTACCCCCGTACAGCACTTTAGTCAGATCACATGCTGTTTTTAAATGTGCTTTATCAAATACATGGAATGGAATGGAAATGGAATATTCGCTACAAGAAACTTTTTCATTTTGGGATATATTCAGGCTTTGTCATGTAGCAAGATATATTTTTCTTGTTTAATTGGAGCAAAGAGCATAGCATGAACAATTGTAAACTAGTAACAGCTGTAATTCATGTGGGTCAGGTTAGTTTGCGATAAAGTTGGAAAACAACACAGAAGAAGTCAGTGGGCTAGGCTGAGTTTGCGTGAATGGGCGGGACTGACTCTGGTGCAGCTCCGCCTTTGTAGTTCTGCAGCGAGCATCCTCTCATGCCAAGGGGCAGCAACAATGATAATTATTATTATATGAGCTAGGGAGGATAGACTTTAATAATAATAATAATAATTAAATTATTATTTGAGCCAGGGAGGATAGACTTTATTCAGAGAGGATACATAAAAGTCCTGCGTCTCCTGCAGCCTTGATGCCGTTCTGGCACACCACAGGATAAATTAGGAGTATTGGCTCAAGTTCATAGACTTCATATCAACATCAGTGTCAGATTGACCTGCATGAAGAAGTCTGGCCTGGTTATGTCACTAGTATGTGTGCTTTATTAGTCACACACGGAACACACAGGTTCTTGCTGTTCATCCAGAGTCGTGTCCACTAGGTGGCGGTAGTGCACCTTTACGTTGGTTGTACAGAAGAAGAAGAAACCCGGAAGCTGCTAGCAGCGCTAGCTTGTTGTTGTTCTGGTGTGTGAGGTGAATGAATATTTGAGTCTCTGGGAGAGTTGATCGGCTAAAGCGACTAACTGCTGCTGCTGCAGAAATCTTCTCACCAGGCTGTGGAAACTTTCTTCTCCTCCTCAACAACTTGGTGGACTTCTTTCCAGAACCAGAGAAGATATTCTGCGGTCTTCGTGACAATCGGAGCTCCAGAAGCAGGTAATGGGTCAGAAAAGCTTTTCTCTAGACTTCCTGCCCTCTGGCTCTGCTGCTGTTCCTTTGGCCTCTCTGACAAACGCGCTCGTTTAGCTGCTTTCATCAGATTGAAGAGGTTCCCTCTATCAGACTCGCTCATCTGAGCTGGTCATGATGCAGGATCGCTGCTCGCTCTCTGATCCATCCTGCTCACACTCCGACGGAAAAGCCCCGAATCTGAATGTGACTCTGGAGGAAAAAGCGGTTAGCTCTACTCCGTGACTGGGACCAAAATTTGGCCCTGGCATTTTTATGAACCGTCGGCCCTCGGCAGGGGAGGTTGCTGCTCGCGACTCGTCTATCCCGCCATATGTGGGGGGAGGGACAGGGTGTTTGTGTGCTGCTGGCGGACTTGTCTCTCTAACCGCACATGAGGCGGGGGCTTGGTTTGGGACGGCCCAAACTGGGCAAGCGGTCCATCGGGACAGTGCCAGATAGGCCAGTCCACCCCTGCTGGTGACCAAAGGTCGTCTTTTCCAGACTGGATCTGTCCCCAGCTGATCAGAACCAAAGCGATTGGGTCTTTAATCCCCTGCGTTCAGGGGGGCTGCCAGAGATTTTGGGCCCCATGAAAAAATATCAAGTTGGGCCCCCTGGGGGCTCGTCCATAGCTGGAGCTGGGGTTCCACCCTCCCAGATTCGAAGGGAGAAAAAATATATAATATATATACTTTATATTAGTGTTTCAGTTTTGCTTAATTATGTGGGTCTACATGCATTCTTACTTATTTACATATCATTTTCACCAGCTGTCTCTCATTAAACAGTGAATTTCCTTCAACAGAATTAGCAATATCACTGCTGGAAAAAGCAGGAAATGCACATGCTGAAAGGTGTTAATCTCATTTTCCCTATTACTCTCTTAAAATGTGTTTATTTATTCTAAGATTTTATTTGATGATAAAATTCAAATTTGGATATCTAATTAAATTTCCATGTTGTGTCAAAGCTTTACATAACTACATTTTCAGCTTCTTAGGTGTGTTCTTGCTGTGTCTTTCTAAATCCATTCTTTCGTTCTTTTTTATACATTTGAATGTATTCTTTGAATACATTTTCAGCTGTCTTTCCTCTTGAAATCAAGTATTTCTGTATGACTGACAAAAATGAAGGATTCTGCTCACAAAGTGACTTCTTTGTTTTTGAACCAAGCCCCCACAATGCGGCTCTAAAAATGGTCCCAACCCGGAAGTAAGAGAAATTGCAGTTCCACCCTCATCCACTAGGGGCTGGTGTCAGAAGCGAGCAAATCCTCATTGACTCCCATGTTAAAAATGCCAATTTCACAGCAGAAATAAACATGTTTACAGCCTGGTACCAAAACATGTTTTTTGTCTAAATTATCTAGTTTATACTCATGACAACTCTGAGGGGGGTGAATTTTTTTCTCACTCTTCTGTTTAAGTGTATTAAAAGCCTAAAATTCTGTATAATTAATGAGCATCAGACCCACGTGACCGCCGCCTCAGACCCACGTGACCACAGAGCTAGCTCCGTGGAAAGGCCTCAGTACAGCCTCGGTCTCTCCTGTAAACTGTGTGGGGATTTTGAGTCTCTGTGCTTGTGAATTCTGTTTTGGATATTATTTGTGCAATTGTTGGACAAAATGACTTGCTGTGGCATTAATTGCACTAATAGAGCGTCCAAGGAGTCTCCACTTCATTTTTTTCGGTAAGTTAAAATCTATATTTGTATTTTATGCCACTGCCGCCTTTAAACTAGCTGAGTTTACCTAAGTAGCTAGCTAACTATCAGTTTAACATGTAGCATGTACTGTTTAACCATGAAATTTAAATGTAAAATACAGTAAAATAATTAATAGGGCATATTTAGATGGGTAAAATTGTAAAACCCAGTGCATTTAAGATAAAAATGGGTTGAAATATAACGGAGCGCTTGGAGGGACACTTCTGTGTTCCATTGTTCCTTCCGGTACTCCGCAGCGGTCAGGCCGGGCAGCCTGACCGATGCGTCGGCTAGCTTCTGCGCGGGCTGACTGCTTGTGTAGCTCTCGGACTCTGAGACAGATCTGACCGTGGGGGACACCGGAGTACCCGGAGGAAACCCACGCATGCATGGGGAGAACATGTAACTCCACGCAGAAAGGCTGCAGCCGAGTTTCAAACCTGCAACTTTCATGCTGCGAGGCAACAGTGCTAACAACTGTGCCACCATGCAGCCATTGATGCCCGAATGTTGTTCCTAACATCAGACACTGGTCCTCCATGTAGGTATCCACCATATAGATCAGGAGAGGGGCAGTTTCAGGAGTTCTGGTCTGCTTCTGGTCCAGCTGCTTCTTTAGGTGTTGCTATGATCGTCCATTAAGAGGTCTGTTTATAGGTTCATCATCCATTTTTTGTCTGACGTTCCCTAATCCCAGCCTCTAATCCCATTCCAGCAGCTGTTTTCCTGGTTGAGACTGCAGGTGTTCTGTGGCAGTGAGTGAATCCTCACATTAAGGAGGTTAAATCATCCAGACTGGAGGCTCAGAGCATGTAAACACAAGGTGTTTCCACAGGGATGCTATAGATTTGTTAAGGGTTAATGTTCCTTAATCCCTTCAAAGGCTTTGTCACAATCTAGACAGCCTCTCCAAAGTGTTGGGAAGGGAACGCCGTGATGTTTCCTTCACTCGGAGTCATATAGACAGCATGATGGTTTGTGTGATCCGCACGGTTTCACTTACACTCCTTTAATGATCAGGCTGTTTTTATTATTTTTATCAGCTGATAGCAGTTAAAATTATGGTAAAAAAAACTTTCATCTGTTTTTGATAACTTAATGCCCAGGAAGAACATCTTCTCTAGACATTAAATATAACCCAAATGTTTTATTATGAGCAGATCTGATGAAGGTGTAGACAAGCAGTCTGCAAAGTAAAACTTGTTTGGAGTCCAAACTCTTTCTAAAGCTTTTGAAAAGAAAAAATGGTTGAATTTTGAGAAATATCCACAGCAGGGGAGCGAGACCTCTGAAAAATGTATATTTTCCAGGGGTGGACATTAACTTCAAAACCAACCGGCCAGCCGGGCCGGTAACTCTGAATATTTACCGGCCCCGCTGGTCTGCTGCCACACGAGTCAAAATAACAACTTAACTGTTTTAAATGTAATAAACCTTTATTTTGTACACATTCACAAACGTAATAACGTATTCAAGTTTGAATTTGTTTGTTCCCTCAACAACTCGATTTTGTCGTCACATACTTCCGGCATACAACGCAGTACATCACCTCCTCCGCTTTGCTGTACTCGAGCCATTGGCTGTGTCCGACATGAGCCAGTTCTGCGCAGATTAGACCAGCAGTGACCGGTGCGCAGTGCATGCAGGTTAGATTTGTGTCCGACTTGACGCCGACTTGCTCTGACGTCATGCATACGTAGGCAACGATAACCTCGTGAGATCAAGGCGGCCGCAGATTTTGGAGCAAGGTGCTGCAGTTGCTCTCCACCGGCTGCAAAACCTAGAGGATGACGGGAAACGCCTGGCTCTCACCTGATCTAAGATCTGATTGGTTCATATTTTGATCCAAACATCCGGTGGTAGAACATGAAATGATATTGGTCACATGTATTCTGTAAATCATGTTATGTTGATGATGACAACTATATAGGCCATAAAGAAAAATGTGTTTTGTGTTCTTTTGTCACGTTTCCTATGAGCACACTGAAGCTACAGCTGATAACCTTTACTTAAGCCCTTTTCAGACAGACATTCTGGAATATGTGTGGACAATTCAATCCGGTTTTTAACCGGAACTGTGTTTTCAGACACACCAATTTTGTACCGGAACTTGTCCTTTCGGCTGCGTTCACACAGCAGAGAAAAGTTCCAGATGTCTGATGGCGGGGTGGGGTGGGGGGGGGAATCGGACTTATGTTAAGAAGAAGAAGAAGAAAATATCATTTCTATAGCGCCTCTCAAGATAAAAATCACGAGGTGCTTAAGCATAATTCTGCGCACACGAAGACGCATAAGAGACCTGGATGATGAAGCTCAATGGTTAAAGGAATCACTGAAGCGGTGTGAAGCGCTCCGTCGCGCGTCTAGACGGTACCGTAGGAGGCGAGCTGCCGTGGTTCGCCGCATGCTACAGCAGCGGGCTATCTAGGTGCGCACAGCGTCCCCCGGTCCCCTCCTCCTCCCCCTCCCTCTTGTCCAGATCTTTACCTCACCAGTCTGAAGCAGCCACCCTGTCCGTAACAATTCCGGACCTGTTACTAGGGGCTTCGTCCGGATAAATTCCGGAACACGTTATCCGGATGTTTGTATTCAGACAGAAAGGTCTTACGGACAGATTCTGGAACATTTCCGTTTTTCATGGCCTGTCTGAAGGGGGCTTTATTATTACAGTCATGTCTTCATATACAATATATGATATCCACAAGCACGTGAGGATGTGTGTCAGCTGCTAACAGGCACCAGAATTAAAATAGAAAATTAAACAAGTGTGAACGCTAACGCGATATCTTCAGCCATCGTCACCCCCGAGCTACACATGTAGGGAAATCTGTCCGGCTTTCAGCCACTCCCCCTGCTGCTTCCGTCTGCTCTCGTCTGTTTTCCAGGCGAGGCGCTGCTCAACTCGAACACGGCCATTCTCTGCGCCTCCCGTCTTCTTTAAACCGCCAAGAATCATTCAATCTACACACACGCTTCTCTGCTTCATACCGTTTCGAACTGTCTCGCTTCTCCTCACCAGTTTTAAAGCGTTTTGCCGGAGATTTCATCAAGAAATCTCATCCCTGTGGCGGCGGCATCTCCCTGCGTGCTTGTGTGTTTCTAGCGTGGTTCCACTTTGTCTTTAATAGTGAACCTATAGTTCACGTGACTATAACTAGAATCGTGCAGTACGTGCACGAATCGTACAAGTGCAGTATGTGCAGTACGTGGCTAGAGGCGTGCAGGTTCACGCGCGCGAAATGAAAACGGTGGCTTCCTACAGGGCGCGGCCATGATGT